GCCAAAAACGTGTTTGTCCAAATGGGCTTTTTTCACCACCTATGTAAGTTCTGAGATTTCTCCGCAATTCCTAAACTTTTTCCGCAATTCCTAATGAAAGTGCCTAAAAATAATTATACGAGCGTAGTAGCCCTGTACGGCACTGGAATAATGCAAAAAACCGGACCAAAATTGGTTTGGAGACAAAAATTTGGCCAATAACTATCAAATTTGGACCCTTCGATTCCTTCCTTTTCCAATCCTTAAGTCGTTAGCTCTATCCACGGAGCTAATCGGAGGGTTACTCAAGAATTTTACTGGCAGCCGAGCACGTTATGCTAGCACGCTTCTAATACAAAAAATTTTATTGCTCTAACTCTAAAAAATCAAAAACTCGATCCCCAAAACAGATTGACAAAATTCAGAAAATTATCGAAATTTTGACCGAAAAATTTTGGTTTTTTCCAACTTTTACTGAGTCTTTTCTCACGCGGTTTGTTTAGTTAGGGGATCGAACTACATAGCTACTCCCTATATAAAAGTTTTTGCTGTTCGGAGAAGCTCGGATATCCAAAAATTTGGGGGTCTATAGTTTATCAAAAATCAGTAATTTTCGACAAAATTTTGGTGTTTCTTGGGTCTAAATAGGAGATAAGTAATATATAGTGGGACAATAATCTATTAGCAGTCGTTAATGAATATTGCTAAACCCTCTTTTCCACCAAAATACCCGAATTAAGACCCTTAACTCGGAAATTTGTGATCGACGGATGTTACAATCGGACCGCGCCAATCGTGCCCCCCACCACTTAAGTTTTAATGAAATAGTACCCGAACGATACTAAAATTGTCTCAACGATACCCAACAGTCGTTGTGGACGTTGTCCCCATGTCCTTGTTGAGCGTGGAACACGTCGGTCAGCGTGCCACTCTACCCTCCGGTCACCGGCAAAATCACCATTAACGTGCTTAAACACTCAAATTACACTCAAGGGAGGGTATCCAACCCTTCACCAAAAAACACAATCTTTCTATCAGAAAAGATATAAGTCAATCTGAAACAACAACAAATAGAAAAGTCAGATCACATCTCGTCCGGAAATAACATATAAACTGTCACTTTATGTTTTTTATTGTTTTTGGTCTTTTTTGGATTTTTTACAGTTTTTTGTACTTTTTTGTTTTCAAATAAATTTGTTTTTTTCTTTTTCTTGGTTATACACTATTTTTGTTTGGTTTTAAGCTTTCTCTTTAATTGTTTTTGGTCCTGGGACCTCGGGACAAGCGGGCTCTAGACTTCCCACCTAACCCTCCGGCCCCCGGAATTTTCGGTGTTAACTAAGTTAAAAAGCTAAATAGTACTAGACGGAGGGTACGCACCTTCCCCCTAGTGCAATAACGGTCATTAAGGCCTCTAACTCGGGCATACGCCCGGATTGGAGGGTTCGTCGCTGAAACGCTTGCTGGTCATGATGGTCTTATGCCTTTGACAGGCCCACCCAGGAGCGCCATAAAAACGTCTATGTAACATTCGCCCAAATACTACACAGCGACGGACCGTAGAAAAAGTACCTATTAACAACTGGCAGGCGTCAGTTACCTTATTTCTACTCGTTTTTCACCGTCTCGACCTTGCCAGTTGATTTTCTGGTCTGTTTAGGGCTAAGTAAAAAGTTACTATTTTTAGGCCATCAGTCAAACGACTTTTGATCAGCTTTCGTTTACATGCGAACACAACCACATAGGTGTGTCTCGGATCCTCAGACTACGTGATTGCCATTAAAAACACGGCTCGAACAACCTATTTTAACATGTTTTTGTGTGACAGTTCTATATTAAATCCATTGGAGATGGATTTACCCTTTCCTCTTTCTAGCTACTCATATTCTAAAATATCAAATAATACCGGTGTTAATTGTTAATTCAGAGTTTTACGACATCCAAGTAGCTACAAAGTCAGTCTTATATAGTCCCTTCACATAAAACAGTCTCTGGTGGACCAAGCCTCCGCTCCCGTAATCTTCCTGAGATAACGTCCTTATCTCTTCCAATTTGTGGCACAGGAGGGTTCCGTGGAATATTCCTTCCCCACTGAAGCTTCCTTCTCCACTAATATTCTATGCTAAGAGTCTTATCGTGTGTTGTTGCCACGACAAGAGGCTTTGTGTTTTTCGTCTCTTGTGCGACCGTTTTCCACAATATTTGTCGTTGTTCTGTTTTTTCGTCCTTTTTCGTCAAAATGGCCGTCTTTTTTGTATTTCTGAGAAATATTCACTCTGCGATAGAAATTTTAAAAATAAAAATTCTAGAATATTCCTACCCTCCTTCGCAATACTTTTTTGTTAATAAGGCCTTTATTCGTTTTTTTCTGTCCCGCCGGAAGGTCGCGCTGTGCCAATCTGGCAGAATGGCACATTTGCGAAGATTTTCTGAGCTTCACCGAGTTTTTCATCCTTGACAATGAGTTGGCATTTGGATGCTTTGACGTGGTAGCCGAAAAATTTACCCAGTGATACAATTTTATTGAGGACGATTCGTAGATTGCTTAATTTACCGACTGCGTTTCCGTCGTCTGCGTTTCCGTCGTCTGCGTACCATTTCTGGGTTACATCGTCTACTGATAAAAGTTTTATGAGGGGTATTATGGCTAGACCGTACCTGGCCGTTGTTAGTGGATCCCCCTGGGTTGTCCCTTCTTGAGAGTAGATTGTTTTTTTGTTAACGAATAGTTTAGATGGATTGGAATAGGAGTTCTGAATCGCTGTTAAAAGGGAAGGGCAGGTATTTCCGATGTTTTTTAATGCCAGCTTTAGGTTCAGCGAGTTGAAAGCGTTTTCGGCATCTATCAGTAAAACAGCATCGGCGGAAAATTTGCTGTATTGATTTCTTAGCGTGTGGATTGCATATTCAATGCCACATTTTTGTCCTAGGCAGAGTTGGTAGTTTGAACCAAGCGACATGAGTTCGTTTTTTAGGCATTTAGTTATTGTTCGCCCTATTATCCTACGCACAACTTCTCCTATGCCTATGGGTCTTACCCCTGGATTCTTATCTAAGGGTATTAATCTGCATGCGTTATATGGTTCCATTAGTTCTGAATTTAGTTCTTCTGTGGCCAATTATTTGACAATTTGAGCAATTGTTTTTGAAATTTCAACTGATTGTTGCCCGAAGTGTGTTAAAATACGTCTCCATTCATTTGCATCGAGGCCAGTTGGTCCATGCGATCCGTGCGTTCTCATGGCTGCCTTCTTGATATGTTGACCGTTTATCCGATCAAATATCGATGGATGGAAAGGAATTGTTTCGTTTGAGACTGGTGTAATATAGTTCTCATCAATTGGTTTAGATGGTGGGTGTTTCTCTATGAGACTCTGTTCTACTGTCTTACCTTTGACAATCTCGTCAAGCGAAAGAACGCCTGTAGATGTGTCTGTTATTTTTGCAATTGCGCTTGATATTTTTCCAGTATTCATTAGTTTGTTGAACTGTTGTGCTTCAGTTTCAGTTTTTCTTCTACTTCCTTTCAACAAGCGCATTTGCAGCGCCTTTCCTTCGTTATATAGACCATCCAGGTCTCCGTCTTGCCATTGCTTAAGTTGCCTTGCTATTGTTTTGGATAAAGATCCATCAATTTTGGACTTTGTTTTGCACAGTAATAAGTGTGGAAACATCATTGCTGCGTGCATTGCGAAGGTATTTTCGTTGTTTTCTATTAGGCTGTTCAAAGTTCTATTGAGGGTTTCAATGAAGTTATAACCAACTTTATTTTTTGACAAGATCATAAAGACCGGTTTCCAGTGGACCACTTCGGTGTATATTTTCGTGGTGGTTTCTATGAGTTCTGGACAGGGGTTTGACCATGGGTCTTGTATTGTTCTAGGTTCTATAGTGGAGAGTTTTGTGAGTGTGGGGCAGTGGAAGGGTGAGGGTGCATTTGTGGGAGCGTGGTTGCAACTAGGGTTGGGGGATTGCATTCATGCTTGTCGTTAGCTGAATGAAATTGGGAGGTGCAGCGATGACAACTGAAGTCGTCACAGTGATCACTGCTGCGGGCTAGGCCGCTGCATTTTACATGCATTTAGCCTGGGCATGTGAAGCACCAAACTCCTCCGCCTCGCAGGCTGCTTTTACAAATAAGGCAGTGTGTTTGAGTAGCCATTTTAGGAACGACGGCGGTGTCAAGTTGGCGAGAGAATTTATAGATTAAATTTGCAAGAAAATTTGTAAAGAAATCATCACCGTAGAACGAGAAATGGATGCCATCACGGCAGAACATTTGAGGGGTTAGGTTTAGGTTGAGGTTTGGCGAAACACTACGTGTATGGGGGTGTACAAATCTGTTTATCAAATTAAACAGCACATGATTATGAATATAAATTTTGCGGTTTTTATTTCGGAATTATTACAGTTCTGAGTTGTTTTGGGGATGATCAGTGTCTTGGGCTGAAACTTGTTAGTGATGAGGTTAATCAAGTTTTTCCACTGCTGCTCTAATTCTTGTGGATGTAGCCTGTTGTCATTGTATCCAGCAACTATTGTTACTGTATTTAGGCGCTTTGGTCTGTATTGTAACACTGTTTCAAACAGATCATGAAGCGTTGCGCGCGGTAGGAGTGAATTGTTGATTTTACTAGGGCTGGTTTGTTATATTTGGTCCTTGAAGTCCCGATAACTAGTTTCTGTGAGAACTCAGGGATGCGTCTTGCCTGGAATCGCGGCATCAACCTAAAACACAGACAACTGGGGCGAGAAAGGAAGCTCTTTGGGGTGATTTATGAATACTTTCACTTAGGGTTTAAAATTGCTGAGGCAAAAGCGATGAAAAAAAAGGAGTGGTACAACCTGACGTCGATTTAGAGGTCGATTCACCAGCTCACTCCTTCTTGCGTCTAGTTACGCCAGGGAAACTTCACTCGCCTACGGCTGGGACGGCAAGATTTAGTAAGATAACCAGAAGAGGAAAGCCCAGCGCGCATATAATATGAAAACACACAAGCGGTAAATTTGAACAAAGAACTATTTAATAAGTTTATCACAACAATTAGTTAAAGGTTTTCATTCGAATGTCCGCCATCAGAACTAAAAAAATGAAAAAATACTAAGACAAGGAGACCCTGTACAAATAAAAACCCAAAATAGAAAGCTAAGCAAGCTATGCACGGTAATCAGAAGTTCAAAAGTGTCATAGTAACAAAGGTTACAGTCAGGAGTCCCTTCATTACGTATTCCAGTCAAAATCCTATTAATTTTCCAGATATGGAAGTGAAAATGATAAAAGAAAAGGACAATTGCTTAGGTCCTTTTCAATTAAAATCAATACGGGTTACGTTTTCTTCAGAAAATATAATATACAAGTGTTACAAATAAAAAATTTCGTCGAAATTTATTTTGTTATTTTTTACTCCGAGTACGCAAGCGGCGTTCGCAATCTGTATTGCCAGGGAGATTCTCTGTTTTAAAAAGCTGCCTGCTCTGGGTTCCTACAAAGCATGCTCAAAAAATTTCTGTGCTGGGGCCGGCCGCGCCCTGAATTTCAAAAGCTAGCGGTTGAAAAAGATATCCATCATTTACAACATCTTAATACTTGTCATTTTTTTGTTCTTCCGCTTCAGCGGCAGCCGTACCAGGGTTACAAACAGACCCGGCATTAATCCTACAAGGAACTAAGGAGTCTACTACCATTACATCCCACAAGAGCTGCTTACCAACAGCCCATAAAACGAGCGTCAAACCGTCTGGTCGCTTCTGATCGGTCTTGTAGAGGTGTCGTGGTTATAAAAAAGACGGAATGTGAGTAGAAGATAAACTCTGCTTTATAAGGGCATTCAGATTTGAATGCCTAGAGAATCTCCCTGCACTTTTGAGGCGAGAAAAACCATGCCAACCATCCTCGGTAACGTCTTTTCCGCACAAGCATTTATGCCGTTCGCATATTTTTAAGCCTAATCGAAGTCCTATCGCAATTCTGAGTTGTTGGTTCGACAGTTTTAACCTCAAATTTTTGCACGGGATGACGTTTAACCATTGGGAGCCAAATCTATCTTGGAACGCGTTGAATCTTTTTACGTCTGTTGGTTCGAGTCGTAAAATCAAGTCTGCAATTTCGCTGTAAAAAAATTGGCTCCGTCCTCGCGCATCATCATAGGTTCCATCCACAAGCTCCAAACCAAAGATTTCGCTCAAGGCATCTTTCGCTCCTACTGCTGAGGCTAAGAAAGCGGGTAAAGTGAGCAGACGAGCGGAAGAAACGCCCAAGCGAGCATGGGCTGCCGGGAGAGCTGCTTGTAAAAACTGGTTATCATCCATTTTCACGTAAGTGACCTTGCCGAACGAATTTCTTAGTAATTTGTCGTAGCGTTCCAAAAAATCATTTTGCAAAAAATAAGGGCTCGTACGCAAAAAATATAGGAGTTTTGGCATGCTAAAGCAATTTTTCAGGAGGTAAAAACCATAATGGGCGTCTAGTTTGTCAATGACATCCGAGATTTTTTCAAGCTCCTTAATTTTTTGTCGAGCAATTCTTTTGGGCAAGGTTATCCTAAAATGAGGAGTTCTTCTTTTGTTTTTATTTTTATTTTGGGGCATATTTTTTGAAAAAAAATGTTAAAATTGAATTATACTGTGTCTTAGTAGTGGGTCCCAAAAACGAAGTTCGCACTTCTCAGTGTTCAAGCTCAGGCCGTAAATTTGTTCCGATTTCAGAAAGTTTTTAAGGTCCCAGAGTACTACCCTATAGTCTTCGGCTAAATTTCCATCATCTAAATACCAGATGTTAATTTTCGACTCCAACTGTTTGACTAGTGTATGAATTGTTTCCGCGAAAAGGGTTGGGGCTTCAGGATCACCTTGCTGAGTTCCGTCTTCTGACATTATGACAGACATTCCGTAAAAAAGATAACTAGGTTTACCATAAGCGCAATGGGTGTAATTATACAATTCAGGGCGATTTGAATAAACATGATTAAGCATTTTTTTCTCTATTTAGAGAGTTGAAGGCATTCTTAAAATCTAGTTTTAAAAGAACAGTGCATTTTGGATTGTCGTCGCGTTCAATTAGGTTTCGAAACGAGTGCGCAGCTATTTCTGCTCCTCGTTTGGTACCGCATCCTACCTGTAGGTTTCCGAAAAAACTTTGTCGCTCGGAGAGGGCCTTGCTTCCAGCGCATTTAGACGCGATACGTCTCAGCGTGTTGCCTATGGCAATCGGTCTCAACCCTCCGTCTATCTTTATGAGGGCGATAAGCTTTGCGCCAAAAAAGAAAGGTCTTAGGGGTTCGGGTATTTTGCCATCTCCAATGAGGTTTATCAGATAGTAAAAGATTTCAGAAAATTAAGACCTGCACTGCCATTCGACTTACTAATAAGATCTATCAAAATTTGAGGAAATATTTTATCAGGACCTCCTGCTGATCCGTTCGGAAAGAACATTATCGCGTTGTATAGGTCGAAATTGGTTACGAAACAATTATCCAACTTTTTTGGATTTAGAGCTGCAAATTTGGCTTGCTGAGGGTGCTTAGAAGATAATTTTTGATAGTTATCAGTTGAAAAAGGAGCAATTTTGTCATCCGAAGCAGCAAGTTTTATTCCTCTCTTTACATTTCCTTCATCGAGCTTACTATTATAAGCTTTATTCTCTGCTCGAGGTCACTCAGAGGCGGGCTTGAAACTTGGGGATGGGGTTTTGGAAATGACACGTCATTTGCTCGAATTTATTTATATATCAAAGAGCTAATGCTTGTGGTCTGTTTGCGTCCACTTCTTTTCGGTTGTTCCAAAAAAAAACAAGAACGACGTTAAAAAAATTAGCCATTTTGTAACATCTTCTACATTGTAGACCATGTCATTTATTTTGTCCGACAGACTTTCCGCCAAGGGAACACGCGAGTCTTTTGGTACTCTCTTGAGTACTCGGACATTTGAGATGGCTGTATTAACATAATTGTCTAGCACTAAATCATTACCTATTGTTGCTTTATTAACAGATTTTACATCAACGCATAAAAGAAACTGAAACTATTGGGTTTTCTTAGAGTCGCTAAGAGACATATTTACACAACTGATATGATACCAACTAGTACAACAATCAAATCTAATCCAATTTATCAGTCCTGAAGGTTTTAAGCAATCTTTGCTTGTACACTCTTTGTTGTTTTTCCTCATCTTGACGCAGCAAAAAGGTTAAAAAAAATGGATTTTGACTGGATTTCAGGGGACTGAACTAACCCATGATAAGCGGTTAGTAGAAAAATTATAAATCAGTAAATAAAAAAAAGACAATTAAATTAATTTAAATTTTAAAATCGAATTAAGAAAATCAAAAACAAGGAACAATCTCACCCGAGCTCAGTAGGTCCAGCGGTGCACCACCAGACTCTTCAAGCCAGTTCCAGTTTCCCACCTCCCCACAGAAAGCCACTTGACAGACCTCTCTCTAAAATCGCTCAGAGGGCGCTCCACAAACAGGCACAAACATCAAAAATAACAAATCTGTTTAATAAGTTTATCACAACAATTAGGCTAAAAAAAACAAAGATCAGTTCGAAATGGTCCTCATGAGATTGGGTCAGCAAGGTTGTTACGGCTTAAAGGCTATCAGCCGAGTCGCACAAACTATAAACAAAGATAGCTGATTGCTGTGCAAGTAGCACAGAAGGTTCTGACCAGATTCACTCAATTTTTTTAAAAAAAATTCTAGTTATTCTTCGCATAAAGGTCGTTTTCAATGTGTTGTACATAACGAGTAAAACTATAGCATATAACGACTGGCTAGCGTCAAGATAGAGATTCATGTGCTTTTAACCGTCTCAACTAAAGCCAGTTCAAATTGGATCTCATGACATCTGGTCAGCAAGGTTGTTGCGTCTTAAAGGCTATCAGCCGAGTCGCGCAAATTAACTTAGTTGCATGCAAAATAGTGAACTCATGGCTGGGTTTCAGTATCCCCGGTCCACGAGGTCACTCGTAAAATGGGGTAGATACATTATCACTATTATATTACTATTGTTTTTGTACAGAAGAGAAAATCACCCTATCCATCGAAGATGGATCGACCCTTTCCTCAACTTCTAGGTTCTCATAGCCTAAAACTGAAAATCAATGGCTTAATTTAAATTCAGGATATCTCCGGAAGCTAAAAACTATTTTTGAAAAGATAGTTCAGGAGTTAACTCCAGACCCTTCCGGTTTCTTCTATATCCGTGAAGAAACGCCTTCTTCACAACCAGGAAGGGTTGCTGTCTTCACCTCCAATCTCCATGATTAGTTCCGGTAACGATTGTAAAAAGCACAAACGATACACTTCGGAAGGCTCCTTTTCAATGGTTTCGTTATCTTTTTCGCTGTACGTGGTTGATCTCTCTTCTACTAGCGAAAATCGCGGTTCTGATGTTAGCTCAGTTTTTCAGTTTTTGCAAATATAAATTGGTCACGTATCATGCCCGAATCGTGATTCTTGAAATAATTTGTTGGATTCGAAGTAACCCTTTCGATTTTATCCAATTAGACGATTAACAGTCTTAATCCCTCAGACAGTCAATTTTCTCGTCTAACTGATCGAATAAAATTTCATTTGTTGCTATGCATTTTTGGTCAATCTGGTCGAATGTCACATACTCCCCGAACAGCACCGGTCAATGTCCTCATTGAGTTGTGAGTAACTAATCAAAATGGTACAGTGACATCGAACAGAATTTACAAAATGCATCAAGAGAATTTTATTCAGGTTATACTGACTCACTACGTGCTATAAATGGCATCATACTACAATGCAGGAGCCTTTTAACTTTTTCCACTAATCTGCATGAGAGGATATAACTAGAGATAAAATTAGCTTTTTGATTTCCATCGCCAGTTCCTAATTAAAACTTTTTCTCCTAGGTTTGGGACGCAGGAAGTTTCTGCCAAGCAACAAGCTAAAATTATCCTACCAAGTCTAGTCCCTTCCGGAAGCATTTTAGTTGTCATCGGTCCTGAACATTAAAAATAAAAAACACTGTTGTTAGAAAGAACATTAAGAACACTACCCTTTTCAGAGAGA